ATGCAATACATCAAGCTGCCTCTGATGGAACCGACCTCATCAGCCACCTAGTTCAACCCACAGCCCCAGAAGAATCCCCACCACACCACCCACAAGGGATGCCCTCCCTCCCATGGCCTCCCAGTCCACTTGTGGATGGTTCTCATTGTCATGAAGTCAATCAATCCCAGATCTGTCCCATTCTTTGCTCCTGGTTCTGCCCTCTAGGGCCAAAGGCTACAAGCTTAATCCTTCTTCCACATAGCAACTACCCTTCCATTACTGGAACACAGCTCTCATGTTGCCCCCTGAGTCTCTCTTCTCCAGGAGAAACATCCCCTGTTCCTTCAACAGATGCCCTCATGTGATAGAGAATCAAAGTGCTTCACCACCCTGGTTCCCTTAAGGAAGCTCTCCAGTTTGCCATTACCCTTCCCAAGCTGTGGTGCTCAGAACCAGCCCCAAAACAACAAACAGTTTAATCTCAGACTCCACATTCTCAGTCACTCCAGTCCCTGACTTCACACCCCCAACAACTTGGCCATACACTCCCAACATCCCTATCTTCGCTCATTCCAATTTCTGGCCCATCCCCCCATCCTCACCACCCCCCTACCTTGCGCCCCCCAGAAAAGCTTCTCTAGCATTCGTACCGACACAGCTCTTCTGGCCACAGGCCCGGGGGGCAGCTGCCTGACTGCGGGGGGGTCTTCCAGGCCTCGGCTGCTTCGGCGATAGGACCGAGTACTCTCTGAGCTAGAAGATAAGAAGGGTCAGAAGTGAAACTGGCAGCCCTCAGGCTGGGCCAGATCCCTTGGGTCACAATGTGGAGGTTGGGGGGAAACAGAAGCACTGCTTAAGGGGAGGGATGGGGTTCTTAGGGGAGCCTGGGTCATAGCCTGGGGTGAACATTCCCTAGCCAGGCTGGGGTGGCCATAGCATTACCCAGGAATTCCTGGTGAAGGCAAACAGGGAGGGAGACAAGCTCTCATCTGAGCAAGGTTGGAGCCGTGGGTGTTCTGTGACACCCCCTCCCCAGACACAAGAGAAGGCCATACGTGGACCTCCACCTCCTCTTCTCTGGGGTCACTGGCCTCACCGAAGGGACTTTAGAGGTCATCTAGTCTAATCCACTCATTTTACAGAAGAGGCCCAGAGAAATGAAGCAAATTTGTCCAAGATAAAAAAAGGATAAATAGTGGAAATAGAATTCAAATCTTTAGGCCTCCTCACTCCAAAAGTCTTTCCCAATACAACTTACGACCTCCCCCCTCTCCTTTTTTTAAATAGTATTTTTTCCTCTGGTTACATGTCAAGAAAATTTTTAGCATTCATTTTTACAAGATTTTGACATCCAAATTTTTCTCCATCCCTCCCTCCCCTCTTCTGAAAATGGTAGGCAGTTTGATTTAGTTTATACATGTGCTATCATGTAAAAATATTTCCATATTAGTCACAATTGTGAAAGAAGAAACAGATCAAAAGAAAAACAACGAGAAAGAATAAAGGAAGTGAAAAAAAATATGCTTCCATCCACATTCAGAGTCCATCCATTCCTTATCTGAATGTGGATGGCATTTTCCTTCCTGAGTCCTTTGTATTTGTCTTGGACCATTGTGTTGCTGAGAAGAGCTGAGTCATTCATAGTTGATCATCACATTCTTTCTTTCTTTCTTTCCTTCCTTCTCTCTCTCTCTTTCTCTCTCTTTCTTTCTTTCTTTTTCTGCCAATCAGGGTGGAATCACTTGCCCAGCTAGACACAGTAAGTGTCTGAGGCTGGATTTGAACTCAGGTCCTCCTGACTCCAGGGCATGTACATCCACTGCGCCACCTAGCTGCTCCAATCTCTGAATCTCTAATACTGGTAGTTCCCATTTCCCAGGACTGGCATGAGGTTCAAAGGAGAAAATTGGAAACCTCAAAACACTGTATGAATACCAACAATCAATCTTACAATCTCTGGGGCTCCCCTTGGACCTTGGTTTCTCCAGATCTGTACTGACCACTGACCCCCAGCTTAGGGGGAGAGAAAGTTAAGGACTTCCTTCCACCCAGGGGTTTGGACACTGGTGTCCCTTTGGAGTTGGACCTTAGTGGATTATCCAGTCTATTCCTCTGACTCTAGATTAGGTAAATTAGAGTTAAATATGTTTCAGACTAGGCAAAGGAGGCCCAGTGAAATTAATTGCCCAAGGTCACGCTGTGAGTAAGTGGGTCCTCACCTACCTGAACCTGACTGGGGGAAGGTGCTCAGGAGAGGTGGCCCCTGAGGGCTCCCAGAGGCTTTCCTCCGAGCAGGCCTCTGTCTGGCCTGGGACTCGGGGACCTGAGGAGCTACAGCTGGTTGGCCGTGCCAGAATGCTTTCTGTGGGGCTGGAGATGCTGGAGGTGGACAGACTGAACACAGGTGGAGACTCCAGGGGCCCAGGGGGCTCTGAGCCTGGGCTGAGAACTTCTGGGCCATCTGTAATAACAGTGATGATGATGGTGATGATGACGATAATGTTTCATCCTTCAGCAAACAGATTCCTGTGACTCAGTAGTAGAATATCTCCCTCCTCCCCATGCCCTACTTCCTTTCCTTGCTACCACAAACCCCAAGTACCCTGGAACTGGCAGCAGCTGATACACTGCCAGTCTTGTTTCCAGTCCAGCTCTGGAGTCAGAATCCCAGGAAGCAATCTCCATGGAGATGCAGCCTGGCAGCTGCTTCTGAGGAAGCTGCACCCATAGCGACCCAAGACCCAGAAAAGACACTTGCTAGCTGTATGACCCTGAGCAAGTCACTTCACTGCTATCTGCCTCAGTTTCTTCAACTGTAAAATGGGGATAGTAATAGCACCTACCTCCCAGGGTTACTGTGAGGATCAAATGAGATATTTCTTTTGGGTTTTTTGGCTAGGCAATGGGGTTAAGTGACTTGCCCAAGGTCACACAACTAGTGTCAAGCATCTGAGGTCACATTTGAACTCAGGTCCTCCTGACTCCAGGACTGGTGCTCTATTCACCGTGCCACCTAGCTACCCCCATGAAATAATATTTGTAAAGTGCTTTAACACAGTAGATACTTAACACATGCTTATTCCTATTCCCTCCCCTTTCTTCACATGGACCCCCTTGGAATTCTGGTGATATCTATGGACCCTTTCTTAGGATGATGTTTGCTGCCTATATTCATAACTGAAGGAAATCTTAAATTTTGGTTAGAGGTGAATCAAAACAAAGATGTAATTTTGTTCTAATCCAATTTCACATATTCTCTGAAATCCATCCAAGGGTCTCCATTTTTGTATGTATACCTGTATATGTACATCTTTTCTCAGAGAACTAGTCTAGAGACAGGTACACAGTAGGTGCTCAGCAAATACTTATTAACAAGGGGAAAAAAAACCCAAATTGCCCAAAATTGGGAAATTACCAATCCCTTCCCCAGCATTCAGAAGGGGAGTGTTTTGGGAGCAAGGGAGATCCACCTTACCTCCACTTCCATGTCCTACCCAACCTTGGGAAGAGGCCCGGGAAGGGCTTTTGACAGGGAGAGGGGGAGGGAGTTCTTCTGTGTGGCTTCTTCTGTTGCTGGCCTGAGTGGGGCCCAGGCTGACGATGGTCTCATAGGTCTTGTTGCTTATGTCCAGACCTGTACAGCCCCATCGGGGCCTAGCGGGGACTGGAAGCTTGATGGGGTAGCGCTGGAAGGAAAAGAACCAGGGAGCCACAGAATGTCGGAGTTAGAGGTGACGAATGACAGCATAAACTGTCAGGACCAGGGGTGGCCCTTAGAACACAGGATGTCAGAGCTGGAAGGGATCTTAGAACACAGGATGGCAGAGCTTGGAGGACCCTTAGAACACAGAATGTCAGAGCTGGGAGGGGCCTTAGAGCACAGGATGTTAGAGCTGGGAAGGATCTTAGAACACAGGATGTCAGAGCTGGGAGGGCCTTTAATACACAGAATGTCTTACAAACCCATTTAGTCTCCATGATCCAGAACCCTGTGCTTCCCCTCTGAGCCATCTCTGTCTTTCTTTCCCCGCCTCCTGCTGCTTCACTCCTCCTTACACTGTTCCTTATTCCCATCGAAATCTCTAGCCTCCACGCCTCCTTCCCCCCACCCCACCAGCACTGACCTAATTAATCAATTCAACCACGCAAGGCCTTCTACCCTTGAATCCTGTTACCCTCTGTCCTTCTGCCAACGCTCGAGCCTGGGCCAGTCCGGCCACCTGCCTCATCCATTCCTATTCCTAAGCAACTGGACATGGTTGGAGGAAATCACGAAACCATGCCACTACAAATTCATAGGAGCCAATCTCATTTGGGCCCTCACTGTTAACATGACAATCTTTTTATCCTTCCCGAGATGACTCTCACACGTATCAGCCGCTTCTAACCTTCTCTCCCTGGAAGCATCCTCAACCACCCCTCTTGCCTTTCGCTTAACTCAGAAAATGAATCCATTTGTGTGCACCCTCTACCCTCCCCTATTCAAAACCTAAGAACCCCTGCAAGCCTTCACTTGTCCTCTCTCCTGCTCTTTCACCAAGACTAACCCTTCCCTTGTACACTTGAGCCATTCCCCTCCCTATCGGCTCCCTCAACGGATCCTCGTAGGGCCTGTTTTTCCAGGCCTATCACCCTCCCAGCTCCCCTTTCCTGCATGTGCTCCATTTGCCCATATCCTTCTTAATATATGACATCTACATCAAATATATTTAGACATTGACAATACACACTCTCTGTGTCCACGATCCACTAACTGCCTAAAAACACACTGGGGTTGCCTCTCTCACTCCCCCCAATCCTTGAAGAACTTTCACGTGACTCTGCCATGCCCTCAGGCTATCATCCCATATTTTGCCTTCCTCTGGATGCTAGATTCCTAGGAACAGATGCCACTTCCTCTTTGACCCCCTGCAATCTGGTTTTGATCCCATCACCGGGCTTGAACCAGGGCAGCGAGTGATCTCTTAACTGTTAAACAAAGTAGACTTTACTCATCCTCATCCTCCTTGGCCTCTCGGGAGCTTCTGAGATGCTTAACCATGTCCTCCTAGTTATTCTGTTCTCCTTTTGGTTCTAGGACAGGGCTCTCTCCTGGTTCTTCATCGACTCATCCAATCACTCCTTTATTATCTTTTTTTAAAACTGGATCATCATCCATCTCTTGCCCACCCCATCCTTGCTCTTCTTTTTTTCTTTCACTAGACTTACTCCCTCAGTGATCTCATCTGCTTGAGAATCCAAGAACCACAGAATCTGAGAATCAGAAGGGACCTCATTGGCCACTGAGCCTGACCCACATCCAAAAGGAATTCCTATTATAACATACCTGACTAGTAGTCATCTGGACTCTTCTTGAAGACCTCTAATGACAGGGAGCTCATTCCTTCCTCAAGAAAGTCTAGTCTACTTCAGAACAGCTCAAATTATGAGGAAGTTTCCCCCTCATATTAGGACAGTCATGCCTTCCACATCGAGGGGGTGAGGGACTCAGTGCCCCTGTGATCAGGAAAATCCACATAAAATTTTTTGTCCCTCCCTTCGTACCAGAGAAGAAATCTGAATTTTTTCTTTTATGGGGTGTTTCCAGTACCTTATTGTAAAGTTTGGGTTAAGTATTTGGTCAAAGGCTCTCTGTCTTCTGCTGGCCTTCAAGGGTGTCCTCTGCGGCTTCCACAAAACTCCCCCCAAATTCCCATTTAATTTCTTACGTCCGACCGGCGATATATCAAAACCACAAAGGGCAAAGTCTCGATGTGGAAGGGATAACTATGATTTCGTCTCTTTGCAATGCTCACCTCTCTTCTAAACCCATTGGTTGCCTCAATTTTCATCCTTTGTGGGCTCTCTGCTGCATTTGACACTGCTGACCACTCCCTCTGCCTGCCTACTCTTTTCTCTCTGGGTTTTCATGATGCTGTTCTGTCCTGGTTCTCTCCTTACCTGTCTGACCACCCCTTCTCAATCGCCTTTGCTGGCTCGTTTTCCCCCTCAATCCTGCCCTCAACTAAACTTTCCTATTTCTGTTGAAGGCACCATCTTTCTTTTGGCTTCCTAGATCTGTAACCTCATTATTAATCTTATCTTCCCAATGTTCCTTAGTTGCCAAATCTTGGCTTTTCTATCTCTGCAATAGTTCTCCCTTCAGACTCCTTCTCTCTACTCACGTAGCTATCACTATAATTAAGGCTCACATCCTCTCCTGCTTCTTACTTGGCCTCCCTGCCTCGTCTCTCCACCTTTCAGTTCAGCCTCCATACAGGTGTGAAAGTGATTTTCCAAAAGCACAGAAGAGATCACGTCACTGCCCCAATCATAAAACACCAGTGGCTCCCTATTGCCTCTAGGATCCAATAAATATTCCTCTGTTCTTCTTTTGAAGACCTGCACAATGTGGCCCCAACTTATCTCTTCAGCTTCACTGGAAATTATTCCCCTCCTACGCTCCGTGATTCAGCCACAGTGGATTTCTCGCTGCTCGTCACACACATCACTTCATCTCCTTTCTCCATGACTTTGTACTGGAATGTATTCCCTTCTTACCTCCTCCTCCAAGAATCTTTCAATTCCTTCCAGGTTCAGCCTGAACACCCCCTTCTCCACGAAACCTTCCCTGATCCTACCTCTTGCTTCATCCCCCTCCTCTCTGGGGACACCCTATGCATGAGCCCAACAAAAAAAACCCCTTGTGTTTATCTGGTATTTTACTGTATAGGCTATGCAACCAGGAGTTAAACAGGGTACCTACAAAACTTTCCTTCCTAATTCTGGCTGACCTCCATGCTTTGTTCCCTTTGGGGATGAGAAACCCCTAGCTGCTTCTCGCTGGCCATAAGTGGGAAACCCCTGAGTAGGGCTTGGTGTTTTCACATAAGGAAGCATCTCCTTACTAGCCACAGAACAGGAAGGTCATAGGAACAGGAAGCTCCAGAGCTAGAAGGACCTTAGAGGTCATCAAGTACAACCCCCTTATTTTATAGATGAGGAAACATACGCACAGAGAGGTGACCTGCCCAGAGTCCTATACTGATAAGTGCCTGAGGTTGGATTTTAACCTGTCTTCCTGACTCCACATTGAGATCCCTATGCACTATGCCACCAAGCTGTCATAAAAAGCCAATGACTCAGTAGACCTTTAAAAAAGGGAATGACCTCACCCATGTTGCTCTTCTTTCTTGGACTCACCATGTGACAAATAGCTCTCCCATAAGGGGTGGGAGGAGGGACTGCCTTCCCCTCCCCTCCCCCTTCGACCCCAGCAGAAATAGCCAAGGACTGAGCACATGGCAGCTACAGTCCATCAGCTACCTAGACAAGCCTGAGTCTGGGATCGGGCTGGCTTCTTCTGTATTTCTTCTTTCCTGATCGCTCATGAAGCCCAGAATCAGTTTCAAGTTGTACAAGATTTAGGCATGGCCTTGTGAATTCAAAAGATTTCAAGATACTGAGTCCTTTGTTTGGAGAGGACTGGAGGCAAGTTTAGGAGTGTCCGGCAACTACTTTGGGTGCTTTTGGAGAATCTGAACCCCAAGAAGAGGATGAGCCCAAGCTCTGACTGGCTACCACCGACCATCTACCAAGAAGGAGACGGGACAGAGCCAAAATGAAATGTAAAATGCCTACCTAGTCAGTAATCCTGAAAAATGTCTTATTGTTTAAATGAGGTTTGGGCAGTGAGGTGGTATAATGGATCATGGAGTCAGGAGGACTTGAGTTCAAATCTGGCCTCAGGCACTTACTAGCTGTGTGACCCTGGGCAAGTCACTTCACTCTGTTTGCCTCAGTTTCCTCATCTGTAAAATAAGCTGGAGAAGGAAATGGCAAACCACTCTGGTATTTTTGCCAAGAAATGGAGTCAGGAAGAGTCAGACACGACTAATCAACTAAACAATAACAAGCAGTAATCCTGGAAAATGCCTTATTGTTTAATCGAAGTTGAAGTGTCAACCTCCTGGGAGGGTATTATAGAAGTTATTAATACCACCTGTTCAAATGTGTGCTTGTAGATATTTTGTGTTTAGTGTTTTTTTTGCATGTAAAAAATAAATATCTGTCCCATACCTGATTCGTGTTTTACAGTAACTACCTTTCTACTTCTTCCTCTGGGGAGCCCCTAGATTGCTGAAACCTAAACTTTAAGTAAGTCATCTCAGGCTACAAAGATGGATGGGAGAATGGTTTAACAAGGTGAAGGATGTGAGTAAAAAATAACCTAATCCCTCTCATTAGAGGCCAGGCTCCCCTAGAGGTAGAACGGGTCTGAAACGTATGAATGTGTGCAGAGTGGATGCTCCCTTCTCTTAGTGTGGAAGGGGGCAGGGCAGTACCTACTGAGCCCAGCAGAGGTACCCTTGTGCAGTTGATAGAGTGTTGGCATGGAGTCGGGAAGACCTGAGTTCAAATATGACCTCAGACACTGTGTAACCCTGTGCAAGTCACTTCACCTCTGTTTGCCTCAGTTTCCCCAACTGTAAAAAAAAGAGGGGATAGTAATAGCACCTACCTTGCAGGGTTTTTGTGAGGATCAAAGAGATGATATTTTTAAAAGCAGTTGGTGCTTAATAAATGCTTGTTCCCTTGCCCTTCCACAGATCTTCATGTAGGATCCTGGATGCCCTTCTCTCCAGCTTACCAATATCCTTTTGGTTTTGTTTTTGCTTTTTGGTGAGGCAATCAGGGTTAAGTGACTTGCCCAGGGTCACCCAACATCCTTCTTAAACTGTGGTGCCTAGAACTTAGAAGACTCCAGATGTGCTCTGATGAGGGCAGAGTATTTGATGGGTTTAAGCATCCCTCATCCCCAATATCTTGTCAGTCAATTCTAATTCTAATCAGGCAAATCCTGTCAATTCTGCCTGGGCAACAAATCTCTCCTCCTTCCCCTTCTCTCCTCTCACACAGCCACTACTTTTGAGACATCTCCTCGTCCTCTCTTGCCTACATGAGGCTGTCAAACACCAATAGACAAGGGAACCGCTAAACTGTAATAAGAATCCCATTTTTTTTTATTAATACACTAACATATTAAAATCAGGAGGAAACTCTATTTTAATCTAGTTCTGGCTGGACTCAGGAGCCTTCTGGGCCATGTATGGCTCCCCATGTGGCCTCCCATGTTGGGCTGTGTCTCAGACTATCTCAAGGGTCTTCTAATTGATCCCCACAATTCCCATCTTTCTGTCTTCCAGTCTTTCACATAACTGCAAAAATAACATTCCCAAAGCACCTACCATCACCAGCTCAAAAAACTTTCATGGTTCCCTCTGCCCGGATGCTAAAAATAAAAAGTCCATGCCCTGGCATTTAAAGCCCTCTGCCATCTGGCTGCAACTTCCAGACTCGGTGCGATCTGCCCTCCTTTTTCTGTTTAACACCGTGACCCCGACCCTCTCCTGCTTCCTGGCTTGGGAGCGATTTCTGAGCCTGTCATCTTTGGCCGAAGGTCAGGAGAAATGGAAGGAGGGCATAGAAGAGGGAAGGAATAAGCCACAAAGAAAGATGACTGGGGAGGGGAAGAGAGGCTTTCGGAGAAGAGAAAAGGGCACGGAGACCACCACTGGGAAAAACACACAATCTGAGGTCTCAAGTCTTACAGCCAGACCCGTGAAAGCCTTTCTCATGGACAAGGAGTTCACGCTTGCCAAGATTAAAAGGATAACCATGAAAAAAATACAGCAAGAGAACAGTTCTGATACAAAGGTCTTCAGTGGGGACGCTGTCTGATGGTGGACAGCTTAACCATCTAATCTAGGGGAGCCCTCGTAGCCGTAACAGGCCAAAGGCTCCTGTCTCTCAATGTGGACCAACTGAGAGGCAGAAGGCTGAGCGAAACGACCTCACCCAAACCCTATCCTTCTGTAGTTCCCAGCAACCTAGTGGCTCAAGGGGCCCAGAAAGTCATTGATGGGGGGCAGGGAGGGGACAAGGAGGGAGACAGGGGCTCACCTTATCTTCCTCCTCCTCCTCACTCTCAGATCCAGGGTCCACGGAAACCCCCCAGGGATAGTCTAAGTGGAATGGAAGGATGAGGGTCCCAGCCTGGGCCTGTTCCAGCTGCCGCCAGGACAGAGGAGAGAGAGGTGGGGAGTCAGAGACAGAGCCAGCAAGGGTCCTAGACCACCTGAACCCAGTTCTGGCCTCTCAAAGCCCTCGCTCACCAGGTCCTCACACTCCTTGTGTCTGTTCTTCCGGGCCACTTCTAAGGCAGTATCACCGGCATCATTCACTGTGGGGAGGTCACAGGTCACTCTACTACCACCAACAATAATGCAGGTTTGGATAATGGTATTTGAAGGTTTAAAACAACAACCTCGCCATTTACTTGGAACCTGTAATTGTCTCAAGGTACCAAAGGCAAGAGTTGATCAGTTTTTCCCAACTCCAAGATCAGGTTTTTATGTATTATACCAGGATGCCTCTTTTTACAGATGAGGAAACAGAGGCTCACAAAGGTAAGTGACTTGCTCAACATCACACAGCTAGTAAGTGTCAAAGTTGGGACTTAAACCCCGAATCTTTAATGACAAGCGTTTCTACAACATGCTCTCTCCCCACCCTGGGAGGTCGATAGCTGGCACCATGGAAGAGTCCTCTACCTCTCTCCCAAAGGATGAGAAGGGCTTCTACTCCATACCTGGAGGCCCAAGCCTCACCTGTGCCCACGGTGGCTCTCCCTTTGAGCAGCAGCTTGAGGCAGTCCAGCTGGTTGTGCAGGGCCCCGAGGTGCAGAGCCGTGTTCCCGTCCGGGGCCTTGGCATCCACGTGGCCTCTGTGGGGGGGAGAGGGAGAGGGTCCGAGTGAGAGAGGGGAAGGTGCCACAGAGAAGGGGGAGGGGAAGAAGGGAAGCTACTGAGGAGAGGAGGGAGGGAGGATCAAAAATGGGAAGAGGACTGAGGAGGAGGGGAGAGATCACTTCTCACCCATTCTGGATGATGAAATCCACCAGGGGCAGGGAGGTCTGGTTGGCAAGGCGAATGGCCAAGTGCAGGGGCAGTTCTCCTGAAGTCTAAAGACACCATTCGAACCTGTAAGTTCTCTTCCCTCAGCTTCCCCCACCCCAACCCACTGTTGGGAAATGCTGACCTGGGGAGCCCAAGTCATAAAAGTCAGGCCGAAGCCTGTGCTGGGGAGGGGACAGGGCTGTCACTGGGACTGAGGGAGAGGCTCCTGTCGGGAGCTCGTGGGGAAGTTAGAAAGCAGACTCAGTTCTTCTACCCCTCTAAATTTGGAGTTCTAACATTCTGTGTCCTAAAGTCCCTTGTAGCATTAATATTCTGTTTAAGATCTCTTCCAGCTCTAGCTGTCTATGATCTAAGGGTTCTCTCAACTCTGGCATGCTATGTTCTAAGCTTCTTCCTAGCTCTCAGCTCTGACATTCTGTGTTCTAAGGCCCTCCCAGCTCTGACATCCTGTATTCTAAGGGCCCTCCCAGCTCTGACATTCTGTGTTCTCAGGGCCCTCCAAGCTCTGACATCCTGTGTTCTAAAAGTCCTCCTTAGTTCCCAGTATTCTATGTTCTAACTTCTCCTCCTGCCTCCTTAATCAGTATTCCCTCATGCTCACTTCTCAGCCCTCTTCTCTACTCCCCTTCTCCTTCCCCCAGAAGATCTCCAATCTCAGGCTTCAGTTATAATTCCTATGTGGAAGAAACTCAAATCTACATTTCCAGCCCTGACCTCTTCCCAGACATCAGGCCTGAAATTCCACCTCCTCACCAGAGGTCTCCACCTGAAGCTCCCGCTTACATCTCAAACTCAGCCTGTCCTCATCAGAGAGCCCTCATCAAGGATGCTCAGAACCCCTCTCCCTAATCTGGACTTCCCCATTTCAGTGAAGGGCAGCCCCGTGGTCCCAGAGCCCCAAGCTGCGTGAGCTGTTTCTTTTCCCTACGCCCAAACAGACTGCTATGATCTCTGCCACAAACTCTCCACTCAGATTAAGCCTGTCTTCTCATTATCCCAAGAATCCATCCCACTTCTTCTGACCTCCATACACTTTGTTCCTGCCTCCATCCTCCAAGGTCCAGCCCAAGTCCTGTTTCCTCCAAGAAACCCTCTGTGACTATCCCTGCCCTTTCTGATTTCTCCGTCCTATGTGCTAGGCACAGAGTAGGTGCTTAATAACAATGTCTTAGGTCACTTGGCTGTTCATAGGTTTTACCAGGCATGATGGAATGGGGTCATATCTCGGGGTGAGGGAGAACTAGTGATGGTCATTGAAGGATCCCTGGACCAAGGTGGAAGGCGAGAAGTGGGGAGGAAGGTCCTACCTGCCCATCTGGCCGAGGTAGTGGCTGCCCAAAGTCCAGGCCATTGGCAAATGCTTCTAGTACAGCTGGGAGGTCCTGGTTGCAGATTGCTGTCCAAAGTCTGTGGGGCTCACACCCGCCTCGGCGAGCAAACCTGTGTTCCACGTACTTGGCAACAATGTAGTTTCTTCGGGTGCTCCTGAAAGAGACAATCCCCCACCCCAGGACCTTTAGACCTGGGCCATCTACCCTCCCCTAAATCCTTTGATCAGAGGAACCCCATATACCCCCATTGTCTTCAGACCTCTCCTGGGGACCCATGGACCTGGGACTGCAACAAGTCCTGCTTTGAAGACCCTCAGACCTGGGATCTCCCTCCTCAAAGAGATGCCCCTCAAGAATGGATCCCCTTCCCCCGTGTGCATAATAGGACTACTCACATATCACTCTCACTGGATGGTTTGGTGGCACCATTCAAAGTGAGCTGGGCTTCCATAATATCATTGAACTGCATATTTCCAATGCCAACAGCCAGCTGCATGTGAGGAGGGGGTGCGCTTTGTCAGGCCAGGGAAGGGACCAATGCCAGGGTCTGTGGGTGGGGCCTCTTCCCCACCCACTAGGTTTCCCCCATCTTACCCAGGTTCCCCCACCCTGCTACTACTGCTCACCAACAACTCTGGGGGGCCCAACACATCCAGCGTGAGTGACTGGATGCGGGAAAAGCGCACGCCCAGCTCCCGGTGGACTCCTGAGCACTGGATGCAGGTCAGGACGCCCAGGTTGGTACTAAGCCATGTGGGGTCTGGAAGGAAGAGAGGCATCTGCTGAGGGGTGGAAATGGCTCCCTAAACACACCCTTTGTCTGGGGCTTCCCTGGTCCCTCTCTGGAAAGGATGACCCTTCTGGAGTTACCCTCTGTTTCTAAGCTTACTTTATATACTCCCCTTTACATATGCCATATTCCAGTCAACCTGGCCTTCTTTTTGCCCTCTGATACGCCCCTGGCTATCAGAACTCTACGTCTTTTCTCTCCCTGTTTCCTACCCTGAGACTACCTTCAATCAACCCATCAGTGGTCCAACACAAATATATTAAATGTCTACTATGTGCCAGGTACTATGCAAAGTGGTGGAGACACAAATACAAAAATGAAGCCATCCCTGTCCTCAAGAAGTTTACATTCTACTGGGGAGACATCACGTACACAGATGCAAAATAGAGACAAAACAAATCAGAGTAATGTGGGTGGGAGGTACCAGCAGCTGAGGGGATCAGGAAAGGCCTCATGGGGAAGCTGGAGCCTGAGCTAACTCTGAAGGAATCTAAGGATTTTAACAGGCACATGTGAGACGGGAGTTTGTTATAGGAATGGAGTACTGAGAAAGCTAGTTTGGCTGGACTTTAGGGTTTTCTTGGCAAAGATACTGGAATGGTTTGCCATTTCCTTCTCTAACTCATTTGACAGATGGAGAAACTGAGGCAAACAAGGTTAAGTGACTTGCCCAGGGTCAGACACAGCTAGCAAAGGTCTGAGGCCAGATTTGAACTCGTGAAGATGAGTCTTCCCAGTTCCGAGCCCATTACTCTATGCACTATGGTGTCACCTAGCTGCCCAGCGTGAAGGAGAGTAAAGTGTAAGAAACCCAAAGTCATCCTTTCTGTCTTGACCTATTAAACTCTTCCTCCTCCTTTAAAGCCCCACTCAAATGTGCTTTCCTCCAGAAAGTCCCCCAGGAAGTGATCCCTTATGTTAGCAATGTCCCTCCTGCAGCATGGCTGGCCTCTCTCCAGCAGACCAGACGTCTCCATTAGAGTTAGCTGGGTCTTTTTTCTTATAGCACTACTGGACTCTAAGCTCTGTGAGGGCAGAGACTACATCCCGCGGTGTCTCCCCCAGCACCTAAGCAGAATCTGTGCTTAATTAAATCAATTACATTGAATTGGTTCCCCTTTACTACACATACATCCCCAGCCCCCTGCCCGCCTACCTGCTGCTCCACAGTCACAGCACTGACCATTTCCAGGCCTGCTTTTGATCTCAGCAATGACCAGCCTGGTGAGGTCCCGAAGGTCCCCATCCAGCCCGGCCCCCACGGGGCTCCCTTGAAGTCCACCTCCTGACTCCCCATGGAAGGCACTGCTCAGGGCCTCATCTTTGCTGTTCTGTAACACGGACACCCACCTGCAGGGGGAAACCGAGGCAGTGGCTACACCTGAGGGCAGGGGAATCCATTCCAAGGTGGTGATGCACCTGGGAAGGATGACTGTGTTGCCCAAGTGGGCTGAGCTTCTCCTTAGGGATGAAAAGCCAACAGCCCCCTTCCCTGGATACAGTGGCATACTCAGCCCTCTCAAAGCCCCCAGGAGAACCCCACGGGATCCCAGGACCTGCCCTGAGATAAAGGGGATGGAAAGGGGGGAGAAAGCAAGAGGTCAGAGGAGGGACCAGGAACACTTACGCCTCACATTCATGCTCATCCTCAGCCTGAAAGTGGTACGTCCGGTTATCTACAGGGAGATAAGGGAAGGGGGCCGCCTGGAGCACCAGGGAAAACCCCCAAGCCCCCCAGTCAGGGCCAGGGACTCCCGGCTCAGGAGCAGGACAGCAGTATCTTCTCCTGTCCTGCAAGATCCCTGTATTGGGGGTCCTAGCACTGTCACTGACAAGTCAGTAACTTTGTAAAAGTCCCTTCCGTTTTATAGGCCTCAATTCCCTTCCCAGGAAAAAGAAGTTCTTAGATTAGATCATCTCTAAGGCCCCCTCCCAGCTCTGACATCCTGTGTTCTAAGGGCCCTCCCAGCTCTGACATTCTGTGTTCTCAGGGCTCTTCTAATCTTAACATTATACTGTATCAGCCTCCATCAATTCCCCTGGGCATAAGTGGCCTCCCGCTCTCCTGGCCTTTTCTAACAGTTTATACTCCTCTTTGCCTTATTATAGTCACCCACTATTTTTTGAAATTCACCTCCAATTACACTAATGTGTTCCACTGTCTATTAGATGCTCTACTGGACAAGAAGCTCCCAGCAAGCAGGGACGGTGACTTTTTTATTCCTGAACCCCCTCACAGGCCCCGGGCAGAAAGCCCTTGCACATGGCAGCAGTTCCCTAAATACTGGATGAGTGAAGCTGGAACCTCCAGGAGCTGCTCTGGGCCCCTGTCCACACTTGCCTGAGCTCACTTGAGAAGGAGGCTTGGAGGCCAGGGCAAGATCCTTCTTTCCCGGATTTGGGGAGTTAGGGAGGAAGAGGAAGGCAGCCACTACTCACGGGTCACTAGGTCAAAACACTTCTTCTCCTCCATGCTTGGCCTCACTTGGCAGGTCAGCAAGGTCAGCTTCACCGGTGGCCGATTTATCTGTAAGAATGGGCAGAAGGGAGGGAAGAGAAATAAATGAGAAGGGTAGAATTCCTTGGCGTGAATATGCTTGGCTTCTCGGGGGCAGACACATCTTTCTCAGGACTCAGTTTCATAGGATCTCTTGGGTCCTCTATTTCCCCATCTATAAAATGGGAGATTATCTTCATCACCTCCCACCCCTCCCTGGCCTGGACAGTGAGCCTCCAACCTCTGGGCCCCAGCTAGACATCACCTGGGAGATGAGGGCTTGCAGCTTGGTCCATCTTGCCAGCTCAGGCCCACCCTCCCCTCTTGCTAACTGGTCATTCGCTTTCCCCAGGAAAGCCCCAACCCCCTTGGCCTCTCACCATGCTGTGAGAGATGGTCAGGCAACCGTACTTGACTCCGCACTTCCTCTTCTGCCAAACTCTCCGAATTCTGGGGTCCAAAAAGAGAAAGAGGAAAGCCCAGGATTACAGCTGGACCCACGACTGTCAGGGAAGACGGAGCCCGTGCCAGGCCTACGCCATCCCTGGCGGGCCTCCTTACCTACCTATCCCTCCAGAAGCTCTCATTCTTGGGGGGCAGGCGGGCCCAGTGCAGACACAGTCCTAGGCCTGACAGGACCTCCAGGCTGAAGGAGGAGACACAGTCCCTGTCCTAGGGGAGTCAGAAGTCTGACAGGGAAACTGCTCCTTGAGGGCAGAAATGACCTTTTGCCTTTCTTTGTACCCCTAGGGCTTAGCACAGTGCCTGGCACATAGTGGGCTCTAAATAAATGCCTGTTTCCTTCTTTCCTTAGCATAGTGCCTGGCACATAGTAGGCTCTTAATAAATGCTTGTTTCCTTCCTTCCTTAGCACAGTGCCTGGCACATAGTAGGCTCTTAATAGATACTTATTTCCTTTCTTGGCACAGTGCCCAACACATAGAAGGCACTAAATAAATAATTAGCTGCAACATGGCCAGAGAAGTGACCTCAAAGTCAGAAAGACAAATCCTGCTTCTGTCCCATAATCCCTGAGTAGCCCCAGGCCGGTCACTTCACCTCACGGGGCTCTAGGCAATTCTATGTGCTGCAGAGAACATGCCCACTTGCATTGTTGGAGGGAATTTCCTCACCTGGAAGTTCCCTACCCCAGTGAGAGCCCAGGTCCAGTTCCCGTTCCCAACACAGAGGTTAAAGTTTCACAAAATACTTTGCTCATCACCACCCTATGAGGTCGACTTTACAGAGATCATTCTTTCCATTTTCCAGACGAGGAGACTGAGGTTCAGAGAGGACAAGGGATTCATCACCAGTCACACAACTAGTCAAGATCAGAGGCTGGGTCTGAAGCCTGGTCCTCCTCACTCTACCCACAATGCTGTGCTACCTCCTCTCTGGGCCTGTTTGTCCTCTGAGGTCCCTTCTAACCATCAAATGCATGGCAAGCATTATTATCTCCACGAGACGCAGCATGGCAGAGCCTCCAGGTCTAGCTCAAGCCTGCTCTGCCTTGCACTTGTCCTGAGACCCTGCACCAATCACCCCCTGTTCTGCGTCCAAGCAAACTCCCCAAGACTATGAATTGGGATGAAAGCATTGGGGGGATGCTTCCTACACCTATGACATCACAAATCTGATTTTGTTTTTAAATACTCATCTTACTGACGAGGAGCCCAAGGTGATGAGCCTCCCCTGAGGTCACCGAGTGGCTAAGAGTCAGAGCCAGGATTCCCACCCCAGCAGGCCTACGGATGCCCAGAGCAGTCTTCTCGCCCCAACACTCTGTACCTTGACCATTGGCTTTGGGACAGTCAATGCAAACACACGCAGCACAGCCAGATCCAGAATCCTCCTCCCTCACCCAGACTCACCCATCACTTTTCTTGTACAGAAAGCCCGACTTCTCTGTGCCAAACTGCTTATTCCCTTGGTGCTGGTGAATGCTGTAGCCACTCCCAGAGTTCTTCCGACTTGAGTTTTCCTGCTTTGTCACCCAAAGGCCAAAGGTTAGAGTGCCTGGCTCGGTGGGGGGCCATCCTTGGGGTAGAGGGATGGGGAGTGGGTCCTGCCCTGGGGAAGCCTCCTCGGGGGATGGGGAGGGAGTCTCCCTTATAGCTTGCTATTCACTTGGACAGTGGCTCATTCAGGAGGGCTCTGGCCCTCCTGGGGAGGGGGTGCCTGAGGTGGAGTGGGGGAGGGCTCAAGAGCTCTCAGCTCCGGGCCTGACCTCTCTGCTCTCCAGCTGCAGGGCACCCCGGAGAGAGTCCCGGATCTGTGTGAGCTTCTGAATGTCCTCCTCATGGGCCTGGTGCAGCTGGGGAAGGAAGAAGGCAGATTGCAGCTGCCAGCCCTAGTCCGGCTCCCCCACCCCTGGCAGCTGCTGCTGCCCGGAGCCTGCACAAGGACTGGCCTCACCATGTCTGTGGGCAGGACCTCCCCTGCAGACAAGCACTGCACTGACTATGCTTACAGGGGTATACATAGATGGGCGCAGGAGAGACTTATCATGGGCACACGGGCCAGACTTATCACATCCACTGTGTACTGCGTAGCTTTCCAGGCATAGTAGCCAGATTCATCCATTCCTCCCTCCCTCTATCCTTCCATCCCTCTCTCCCTCCCTCCATCCTTCCAACCATTTCTCCTTTCCTTTCCCTCCCTCCATTCATTCCTCTCTCCATCCTTCTTTTCTTCCATCTATCCTTCCCTCTCTCCCTACATCCCTCCTTCCCTCCTTCCCTCCATCCCTCTCTCCCTCCATCTATCCTTCCCTCCCTCTGTTCCTCCCTCCCTCCACCCATCCATTCATTTTACCACCTTTTTAGAAAGGATCCCAACCATGCTTCACCCCGCTCATGCCCAGACTCTATCTCCATATTCTTCCTCCTCCTTCTTGGCTGCCATTTTGCCATCTTGGAGAACCCTTCACCCTGACATCTTCCTCTTCTGATCGGTAACTCCCAGCCCAGGGCCCCCATTTTAGTAAAGACCACAGTCATGCTTCACCTCCCTCCCTCCAGATTCTCAGTCCAGACTTCCTCTCCTTCTCCTTGCCTACAGCATTGCCCTGATTTGAGAACTCTTCTTCTCCTGCTTTCCACATGGGCAAGGACTGTCTTTTTGTATTTGTATTCTCTGTGCTTAGAACAATGTTTAGCATACAGTAAGCACTAAATAAATGCTTGTTGACTTGCCTTGCCTTCCACCATTAGTGTGTAAGCTTCTTGAGGGCAAGGACTATTGTGTGTACTGTATTTGAATTTCCAAGACTTAGCACAGTGCTTGGCACATAGTAAGTGCTTAATAAATGTTCCATCCACCCATCCATCCACCCACCCATCCATCCATCCATCCATCCATCCATCCACCCATCCATCCACCCACCCATCCATCCATCCACCCATCCATCCACCCACCCATCCACCCACCCATCCGCCCATCCATCCACCCACCCATCCACCCACCCATCCATCCACCCATCCATCCACCCATCCACCCACCCACCCATCCATCCATCCACCCACCCATCCATCCATCCACCCATCCATCCATCCATCCACCCACCCACCCATCCATCCATCCACTCACCCATCCATCCATCCATCTATCTATCCATTCAACAATGGCAGCTGGCCACACCTCCAGAGTTGTAACTTACCGAATGCACTGAGGTTGCCAATTTCTCTATGAAGGGAGACAGGCTTTGAGCTGCCTTCCAGCCATCTTGGAAAAAGCTAAGGGTTTTCAGAGGGCAAAGGAGGGAAGGACAAACAGGTATACAGATGGACGGATGGATGGATGGATGGATGGTTGGACGGTTGGACAGACACAATGAGAGACAGAGATCAGAAGGAGAAAAAGGAAGGTGGCTTAGAGCATCATAGGGTACCTAGGGATATGGGGCCACTTTACCCTGCTCCCCGCCCCCCCAGGTCAGAGAGGGAAGGGAAGAGGCCCAGCTCCCCTTACCTAAAAGGAAAGTTGGGGACTGTCAGAGGACACTCCCTCCCCCAGCATTGGTCCCCACCCCCATCACCAGCCAGAATGATGGCTGACTAAAGATATCCAGAATAGATTTGCTGGGTCATGACCCAACCAAGAGGGACGCAAGATCTCAGGCTCCAATCCTTTACTATGGCCCTGGAGAGGGCCCCAGAGCAAGAGGGCTGGATGGGGAGAGGGGAAAGCGGGGCTTGTTCCAAACACCTACTTGTGCTGGGCGTGGAAGAATTTAATGAGGCTCTGCAGGAAGTCAGGACCTTGTTTCATCTGGCTCTCGCTAGCTTTTAGCAGGTACTAAGGGAGAGGGGGGAGCCAGGGAGACATTAGCCAGAACTCTTTGGTTCCGTCACCTTTGCCCCTTTCCCATTTCTTCCCAGCCTGGGTCCAGGAACTGGCTAGAGGAGTAGGCCTGAGAACTAGGGTCACTGGTGGACAGGAGGGGTGGCAGCTATCTGGAGAGATGGCCGAGTGGAAAGACACTGGGGGTTGAATCTTGGCTAACCCCTCCCCCCTTCCTTTATGAACTTTGGTTTCCTCATTTCTAAAATGAAAATAATAACATTTGCATGACCTACTTTACTGGATTGTTATCATTTTTTCTTTCTTTTTTTTTTAACTACTTTTGCTGGATTGTTATTAGGCAAGCACAGATAACCATGCGTTACCATTATCATTCTTGGGGACAAGAGCCTGCAGATAACCTGTTCTAGCACAAAGGCTGGGACTTTGAGACAACAGGTTCCCTGAGGTCACCTCACTGCTCCTGCCCTGGTCAGCCCCTGTCCTTGCCCTGGTGCCAGGGAGACATCGGCCTTCTCTGGCCCCGTGTCATCTGACACCGAGTCATCCCTACCCGAGGATCTTGGAGCTGAAAGGGGCCCAGAAGAGCTTGGGGCCTGGATCCCAGGCCATTGGCCTCTCGGGCCCATACCGGGATCCCAGATGGGCCCGTTGGTATGCCCAGAGAGCACCCATCAGGCACACGCCATCCCACCTCACACATGTGCAGCTGGAAGACCCGGCGCTCTCTCTGGGTGTCCTGAGTTGCCTCTCCAGGACTCCCTCCAGGCATTTTGGACCTCTCCTTCTCCTTCTCCAGCCTGGCCCTGGAGACCACACAGAGATAAAAGCCTGGAAGAGCCCGTCTACCCTCAGCTCTCATCATCTCTGGGGGGTATCACAGCTTTATTGATGCACTGATCGAGGTCAGCAAAACCATAAAATGTCAGAGCTGGGGGGGGAACCTTAGAACCCAGGATGTCAGAGCCGGGAGGGATCTTAGAACACAGAATGCCAGAGCTGGGAGGGGCCTTAGAACACAGAATGTCAGAGCTGGGAGGGCCCTTAGAACACAGGATGTCAGAGCTGGAAAGGTTCTTAGAACACAGAATGTCAGAGCTGGGAGGGGCCTTAGAACCCAGAATGTCAGAGCTGGAAAGAACTTTAAAACACAGAGTGAGACACTTAAGTTCTAATGCCACCTCTGCCACTTTCTAGCTTAACTGTGTGACCATAGGTAAGTCACTTAACCACTCTGTGCCTCAATCTCTTCACCTGTAGAGAAAGGATAATCTTACCCACAAAAGACTCCCTTAACAGAAACACTGTGAGAATCAAACAATAACTTATATGAAGAACTTTGCAAACCTTAAAGCACCATATAAATGTAATTCCTATTATCATCATCTCCATGTGTTCTTAACCTGGAGTCCAGAAATTTGGTTTGATTTGCTTGTTCTTAATTTTGATCATTATATTTCCACATAATTGGCTTCCTTTGTAATCCTATGTTATTTAATGTAATCCCTATTTTGTTCCATGCATTTAAAAACTGATTCCAAGATGGGGTCCCTGGGCTGTCCCACACTGTCCAAGGATGGGTTCTGGACACACAGAACAGGTTAAGAAACCCTGGTCAAATCACAGGATCTGATTCACACACTCATTCAACAAATGAGAAAAAACCGGGTCCCCAGAGTGGCCTGTCCAAGATAATAACTGGCATTCATATAGGTCTTATCATACATTATCATATTTAAACCTTATAATAATCCCATGATTAAGTTCTTGTTCAGTTATTTCAGTCCTTTTTGACTCTTCGTGACCCATTTGGGGTTTTCTTGGCAAAAATACTGGACAGGTTTACCATTTCCTTCTCCAGCTCATTTTACAGATGAGGAAACTGAGGCAAACAGGTTAAGTGACTTGTGCAGGGTCACACAGCTAGTAAGTGTCTGAGGTGGGACTTAAATTCAGGTCTTCCTGACTCCAGGCCTGGCGCTCTATCCATTGTACTGCCTAGATGCTCCATGATTAAATTTTACAGGTATTATTATCTCCATTTTACAGACCTGAGGCTAACAGAGAGCTAGAGACTTGGCCAGGGTCCCCAGAGGCATGACTTGAGCCCAGGTCTTCCTAATTCTAAGGACATCGCTCTATCCCTGGTGACCTGGCCCTTGCTAAGGCCATATGGCAAGGCCTGAGGCTCCAGTGCCTGAACACAGCTGACTTTATTCCCCCCTCCAGAGGATCCCAAGCTGAGCAACAAGGACAGTCCTCTCACTGCAGACAGAATGGGGACCCTGGAGGGACAGGAACCATACTTCTCACACTTCTCACTCTAGACTCCAACACTTACCGTGAAATTCAGAGACCCCGTGGTCACCCTGGCCTTGGAGAGGTCCCCACCCAATAGGAGCCATTTTGTTACTGCCTTGTTAAACTTGACATAGAGGGATAGGGATTGGCCCTGGGTGGTCACTGGTATAAGAACTCACAGATGAGGACAATCCCTTCTGACAGTGCAGGTTGCCACCCTCTTGGTAACCTACAGGTTTAGAGTTTTCCTGAAAGACTGAGAGGTTTGCCCAAGGTCAGAAGCAGAACTTTAACCCAGTTCTTTATGGTTTGTTTCTTTTTTTTCCAAAACAACAACAACATAACCACTGTACATGTCAGACATTCAGAGTCTCTTATACAATCCTCTTCCTCATTCTTTTTGCATCTTTTCCCTCCTGGCCCTGATCCTGGCTTCTTGGACTTCAAAACCATGTTCCCTCCATTTCTTCTTGTCCTTTCAATCCCCACTCTCCACCCCCTTTATCACTTCCTTTGATGTATTGTGTTCCCCCATTAGAATTAAGCTCCTTGAGGCCAGGGACTGTCTTTTGCTTGTATTTGTATCCTTAGTGCTTAGCATGGTGCCTAACTCGTAACTTAATCTTCCTTCCTTCTTCTTTCCCTCCCTCCTTCCCTTCCTTCCTTCTCTCCTCCCCCTCTCTTCCCTTCCCTTTCTCTTTCTCCCTCTCTCCCTTCTCCTCTTCTTTCCTCCCTCCCTCCTTTCCTTCCTTTCATTTCTCCCTTCTTTCCTTCCTTCCCAAACAACCATGTATTTAACTGCTCGGCCTATATTTGTATTTATTCTCTTTATATTTATTCTATACATATTATTTTGTGCACGAGTCTCCCCCATTGAAAAACCTAAGCTCCTGTAACATTGGGAATGTCTCATTCATTGTTTCTGTACCCCTGGTCCCTAGCACAGGCCCTGGCACATAGCAGACACTTAAGAAAGCCTTGCTGATTGACTTATTTGTGGACGGCTGCTAAATTCATGATAGCAAAGAAGCTTTTTTTTTTACAAAAAGAACCCCACCCAGGCAGCCAGGCTCTGAGGAACATTTCCCCAGCTCTGCTCCGGCTATCTGGGGCCCAGGATCCAGCCCCACCCTTCTGCTAGTCCTTAGAGCCTGCTACCCCCACCCCCAGCCACCTGTTGCAATCAGTCTCCTTCTTGGAGGCCCAGCACAGTCCCCAAGAGCTCCAGAAACCCTTCCCCCAAGTGGAAATGCTCTCTCTCCACTCTCTTTGGACTATTTTAAAAATCTATTTCAATTTGCATTATAATTAAAGCATAATTTAAAAACATGAGGCTGCTGGGGTGTGGTAGATGGAGAGCTCATCTCTGAGTCAGGAAGACCTGAGGTCATATCCCATTTCTCTCTGTGTGTCCCACACAAGTCTCTAAGGCACGTCTCTGATGTCACAGAGGAGGTGCTGACCTGCATTGTAGAGGGATTTTCCTCACTTGGGAGTTCCCTATATCATTGAAGTCCCAGATCCTGCCCCTATTCCTCCCCCTGTGATTAAAGTGGAAAGGACACCAGATTTGGAGCCACAGGACCTGATGCTGCTACTAAATTAACTGTATGCCCCCTCTGAGCCTCAGTTTCCTCATCTGTAAAATGAAGGCATTAGACTGCATGATCTCTCAGACCTCTTCCAGCTCTAACTCCTATAGACGATGTATCCATGTCTTCTCTTCCTTACTGGATTGCTATAATCCTTGAAGGTTAGGCCAGAGTCTCATTTATTTTTGTCTCCCCCAAGTGCCCATCATAGGGCTTTACACAGATGTACTTAATAAATGTGCCTGTTAAATTTGACTCTATGTGGTTCCCTCCCCTACGCCCCCAGCTGGCGGCTTCCTTCTGAGACCCTAAGGCCCAGAGGGGTGGAGGCCAGGCCTGGAATGGCCAGAGCAAATTCACTCCAGAACTGCTCAGGGGATGCCTGCTGAGGCCAGAGACACGACCAGCCCCTAAGGTCGTTATCCCCTTCACAAAGGATGTCGAGAGGATGGGGAAATGCCAGGCCCTGGGCCCCACACCAGGAAGGCCTGCCAGCAACATGTATTAATAATCCACTACTATCTTTCCATGGGCTTCAGGATCCTGAAAGCTAAAATCAGGGGGTTGGACTTTGATCTCTGAGGGTCCTCCCAGCTTGGACGTCCTATAGTCTAAAAATGTGGTCTGATATTCTGTGTTCCAAGGGCCCTTCCAGCCCTGACCTTCAGTGCTTGGAGAGCTGTCCCAGCTCTAATAGTCTCTGTTTTATGTATGGTCCCTCCCAATTCTGACATTCTGTGTTCTAAGGGCCCTCTCAGCTCTGACATTCTCTGTTCTAAGGCCCTCCCAGCTCTGACCTTCTGTGTTCTAAGGTCCTCCCTGCTCTGACATCCTGTGTTCTAAGGGCCCTCCCAGCTCTGACACTCGCTGTTCTAAGGGTCCTCCCAGCTCTGACATCGTTGTCGTCATCGTTGTCATCATCATCTCACCACCATTTATAAAGCACCTACTATGTGCCAGGCACTGTGCTAAGCAAATATTATCTCATTTGATCATAGGATCATATATGTTGAGTCAGAAGGGACCTTAGAGGTCATCCTGTCCAACCCCCTCATTTTACAAATGAGGAAACTGAGACCCAGAGAAGGTGTCCTGTCTAAAATCACACAGGCAGAAGTGACAAAACGAGGATTTGAACCCAGGTCCTCTGACCTTAAAGCCTGTGCTCTCACCACTGTATACACTACCAATAGGCCCTAAGTTTCCTCCTCTATAAAATAAGAGGGCTGGAATACCGGCCTCTGGATGGCTTCTACCTCTAAATATTTGCTCTTGTGATCTCCATGAGCCCAGGACTTATCATGGACCCCACTGTCTTGGCTGCAGAACAACCCTGGGACATGCACACTGGGGCAGTCCCCCAGGATGGTCTAGGGACTATGACCCAGGTTCTGAACCAAATACAGGGAAGACGCCAGCAGCCACCCCAGGCTTTATTTGCTGAGCCCAGATTCGGCATTCGATGCCCCTGCTGGGCTGAGCACTGTGGCAGACACCCTCCACAGAGGAGGCCTTGCCCTGCTTTTCTTCCTCGAGAAGAAAAGGATGTGTGGCCTTGCCAGCTGACTCAGCTCTTACAATCAGGAAGTTCGTTTTTTGTTTTTTTGTTTTTTTATTTTTTAAAGTCTTTCACCTAAGTCCCTCCTGCTACAATAGGAGTCCTCTCTGCCTCCAGAAACCCCATCAGAGAGTAGTGAGGGAGAAAGAGAGGCCGTGTTACTCGTAGAAGAGTCCTGGTCTCATGGCCTGCCAAACTCTCTGAGCCTCAGTCTCCCCATCTGTAAGACAGCAATAACTAATGCCCCAGTGGCGGTGTGAGAGATGGATGTGTAAACCTTAAAAGAAGGTTACCCTTGTGATTATTATTGCTCTGCTGAAGAAGGCGGCAGATTCTTGGGGCAGCCCATCTCCCCGAGAACACTTACATTTTGGCTTCGTAGTCTTTCCACGCCTTCTCCACCTGCTTCCTGGAATCCTGTGGTTCAAGAAAAAGAGGATCAGAAAGAGGCTTGGTCAAGGACCCCAGAACAACTCAAGCCTCTCTGTGGCTTTGGGGGATCGTCCCCACGCCATGCTCCCTGGGGTCTGACTGTGAAAACCGCCCCTCCCCATATTCCTGGAGACTGACTTCATCCCTCCACCCCGACCAAGGTCCCTTCCCCAAGTCCTAAGTCCTTCCCCCAAACAAACCCCATCCCTCCACCTACCCACTGGCTGCTCACCATGCCTGGAATGCTTTCTCTCCTCATCTCCCCCTCTCTTGGCTTCCCTCAAGTCCGAGCTAAAATCCAACCTTCCACAGGAAGCCTTAATGTTACTGCCTTGGCTTTGTTGACTGATTATCTCCAATTTATCCTGTATATAGCTTGTTTGTATGTAGCTGCTTGCACGCTGCCTCCTCCATTCGACTGTGAGCTCCTCAAGGGCAGGACTGTCTTTTGTCTTTCTTTACATCCCATGTGCTTAGCACAGTGCCTGGCACACAGCAGGTGCTTAATAAATGTTTAGTGACTGACTGATCATGCTACCCTCCCCAGTCTTGACCCTGTGGCCCCTCAAATCTGCTCTTTCCCTCCACCCAGATCTCTGCACTCATTCTCCTAGTCCTGACAGTGATGCTCATAAAACCCATCCCTCCAATTGACTCCATTCTGAACTCATCCTCGTCATCCTCCTGCCCTTACTTTTCATAGACCCAGATCTCTGCAACCCTTCCACATCTTGCCTATTACAGTCTAAACTTTGCCATCTTCCTATTTAAGAAAACAGAATCATTGGGTATAAGAGCTAGAAGGAACCTTAGAACACACAATGTCAGAGCTGGGCAAGACCTACAGTAGAGAATATCAGAGGAGCTGGAAGGGGCCTCAGAACAGAGAATGTCAGAGCTTCGAGGGGCTTAGAACACAGAATGTCAGAAAGCTGCAAGGGGCCTTAGAACCCAAACCGTTAGGGCAGGGGGAGAAAAGAGGGATTTTTAAGGAAAAAATGTCAGAGCTGAGAGGATCCTTAGAATACAGAATATCAGAGCTGGGAAGGCCCTCAGAACAGAGAATGTCATAGCTGAGAGGACCCTTAAAACAGAGAATGTCAGAGTTGGGAGGACCCTTAGAATGCAGAATGTCAGAGCTGAGAGAGCCCTTAGAACTCACAATGTCAGAGCTGTGAGGGCCCTTAGAACACAGAATGTCAGAGCTGGGAGGTGCCTTTAAACAGAGAATGTCATAGCTAAGAGGGTCCTTAGAACATAAAATGTCAAGAGCTTCGAATGACCTTCCCACACAGAATGTCAGAGCTGGAAGAGATATTAGGAGAATGGTTCTTGATCGGGGGCTGTAAACTTTTCAAAAAAATGTTCATAGCTGTATTCCAATATAACCAATTTCCTTTGCAATGCTATGTATTTTGTTTTACACATTTAAAAACATTCATCTGAGAAGGGTCTACAGTCTTTACCAGACTGCTGGCAAGGGTGGGAGCGAATGTGCCCACGACCAGCAGTATAGTAGAACCAGCTCAGACCAGCTTACAAGAGCAGAGTGTTAAATTTCAGTGTGAGCATTTAAACTTTGGAAATGGGCAGAACTAGATGAAAGAAGGTTGACAGAGCCTGGGAGCTGCACCAACCACCCCACCCCTCCATATACAGACACAATGGGTGCCTGATTACTGAGCTAGGCGAGGTCCTCATCCCTGTGGATACCCTGGCCCTCAGGCAGCAGCCCCACTTGGACCCTGAAGTGGGGAGGATGGAGTGAGAAGCTGCCAGGGCCAGGCAAACAGCAGAGGCTTGAGATTCAGGAGATAGACTCACTAGGCCCTGTGACCTGGAATGAGTTGCTTTCCTTCCCTGGGCCTCAGTTTCCTCCTCTGTACAAGGAGAATAATCATCATAGAATCATAGGTTTTAGGACTAGAAATGGACTGAGATATTGACTAATCCAAACTCCTCCTTTTACAGATGAGGAAACCGAGACCCAGAAAGGTCAAATGTTTTGACCTCACCTGGGACTAGAGTCCTTGCCCTGCTTGACCTCATGGGCCAATGGAAGGGGAAAGTACCACTGCACTGTCAGCTCCTCCCCAAGGGGTGAAAAGGGACTTGTTTTTAGAGCCTGACACAGTAGTACCTCCTGCAATGGGCTAGTGCCCGGGTAAGCAGCAATACACCTGGATTTGGGCTGAGGGTGGATGGGGATGGGGAGAGGACACATGCATGCGTACTGCTGGAGAGAGAAGGGACGTTGGAGATTACCTAAATATAACCTCATCATTTTACGAAGTGAGGAAACTGACCCTCAGAGAGGTTAAGTGCCTTGCTCAAACACATCCAGCCTTACCAGAACCTGAGCCTGAGGTTTTCTGATTCCAAACCAGCTGGGTCATTTTTCATGATTCCACCCCTTTGAAAAGCCCAGGCCTTTTCATCTAGGTTTGATCCAAAGGGCTTAACGGGTACCTCAGCGTTGTACCAAACTACTTGACTTACGGATGGAGAAACTGAGATATGAAGTGCCCTAGTTGGGGGGTGGGGAGGACCACGAGGGCTCTCAAGCGGCCTGGGGTCTCTACCCTGCCCTAAGAACCTGGGTGTGAATGCCAAGTCACTTAACCTCTCAAAGACTCGATTTCCTCCTCTGTAAAATGAGTCTGTCGAATCACCATGAGGTCACAGATTTCAAAATGGAAGGGAACACACAGGGTTATCTAGTCCAGCTCTCTCAAAGCAAAGCAAAGGATAAATAATAAAGGGAGGGGCAGCTAGGTAGCACAGTGAATAGATCACCGGCCCTGGAGTCAGGAGGATCTGAGTTCAAATCCTGCTTGGACACATGACACTCACTAGTTGTGGGACCCTGGGCAAGTCACTTAACCCCACTGCCTAGCAAAAAACAACAACAATAACAACAACAAAATAATAATAAAGGAAAGATTTGAGCCTAGAGCATCTAACTTTAAAGCCTGACATCCTCCCACTGTCTCACAATTCTCTTACCACATGATCAGAAAGGCCTTGGACTCTAATAGGCTCTCAATGACTCCCAGGCCTAAATTCACCGGGGCTACTTCAGCCTCTGATGAGGGTGTGAGACCCTTCCCAGGACCTCCAGTCCAGTCGCCTCCACTCTTTGCACTGTGGAGGTAGGGCCAAGCCCAGGAGCCCAAAGGTGAGGCACTCCCCACCCCCAACTCTCCCTCATCCCCAACCCCACCCACTTCAAAGAAAGCTGCCTGTCTGGTTTGGGCTGTTCCCAGGGACTGAGAGAAGACGGCCCCAGAGCTGGGAGTGAGCCCCTGGGGAGGCAAACACAGCACATCTCGAGGGCTGTCCAGAGAATCCTTTGCCAGGCAGCTTTCTCCCCGGGGAGTCCTCCGAGCACCATTCAGCCTCCACCCTCTAAGTCCGCCCTCCCCCTTTAGCCTCGTCATGTTGGGGTGACATCAGCGGACACCTGGCTGATGGGGATGGTGGGGAAGCTCTTCCCACAGTGTCCAGGCCCCACTGTCGCCTCCAAGTTCCTCCCTCTTCCCCTCACTGACACTGGAGTCCGTGTTTCATGAAATCATGGAATACGCAGGAAGACCTTAGAACACAGAACTTCAGTTTAGCTGTTCTCAGCAATACAATGATCTGAGACAATTCTGTAGGACTCATGATGAAAGGTGGTGTCCATCTCCAGAGACAGAACTGGTAGAGCCTGAATGCAGATCAAAGATAGTTTTTCTTTCCTTTCTTTATTTTTCTTGCTTTTTTTTCCCTGTGTTTTCTTTCACAGCATGACTTACATGGAAATGTGCTTTGCATGACCACACATGTATAACCTATGTCAAATTGCTTGCCTTCTCAAGGTGGGAGAGAGGAGGGAGAGAGAATTTGGAACTCAAAATTTGAAAAAAAAAAAGAATGTTAAAATTGTTTTTACATGTAATTTGGAAAAAATATTAAATAATAAAAAAAGAAAAGAAAAATAGAC